AGTTCATCTAAACTGCTGGCTTCTGATTCAGAAAATACGTTTCTATTTTTTGAAAATATTTTTCGTGTGATTTGTCTTTGTTTGTTTATAATTTTTCTTTTTATTGTTTGTCGTTTTGTTCTAATGTATCCAACTGTTTGTGTATGAGGTGTGATTACAAGATCGTATTTTTTGTTATCTATTTCACAGTTGTGTAAAACGATTGTTTGTTTATTTCCTAAATTTTTGAATGACATAAGGTTTAGGATGAGGGATGCAAGAAGTTGTTAGTTATTTCTATTTCCTTAGACTGTTAGTCCTTACGATTTTTTTGGTTAGCTTAACCTGGGTCTTTTTGTTCAGGGTTGGAGAGAAAAGTATATCGATTCCGGAGAATGATTTTCTACTTTCTAGTGGCTAGTCTAAGCTAAGGAGGTGTTAACTTACTTAATCCTACTTAGGGGAAGTGATTGTGTTCAAGGTTTGGAGAATAGTAAATCGATCCACAAGGTTCAGGTATAATTAGAACGCAAGTAGTTCGTTAGATACTTTTTTAAACTTACTAAGTCTAAGATCTATCCTGGGTCTGGTAAGAGGAGGGTTCAAGTGAAGGATGAATAACCGAAGTTCTTCACTGTTTATCTTAATTTGAATGGTTAGTTTTATTTTAAAATTTTTTATTAGTCCTGGGTCTTTTGGAAGGGTTGGATAGTGAATCGACGTTTGAGGTCGTTAGACACTTGCTAAGTGGGTGGGGGAGAACAAAATTGTCCTGTTGATCCAAGGATAGGCCTTGATGATCAGGTTTTAAATTTATTGAGATAGAAAATTTATTAAGATCCAAGGTTAAGCCTTGATGATCTGATTTTTGTTTAAATTAAGTGAATTTAAGTTTAAAATGATTTAAATTTTTTGAATAAAAGATTTAGTTCTTTAATGATATTAGTGAGCTTATGATTGCTGTTATGTTTAGGTGATGGAGCTGGGACAACGAATGATTTATGATTACTAACAATTTATTGTCACTAACTTTTGTTTTTATTTTTAAATAAAGATTTTTCAAATATGTTTTATATAATACTGCAGAAATTAAGGAAACGATCTGAGATCTTTTTATCAATTGTTATTGTACATTAATAATTTTGTTTAGCGCCTGAATGATCATGAAGATTTACTCCAAAATTTTATGTTTGCAGATGAAAATCTAAATTCATTGCTAATAAGATTCTAAATATAAAAGTTTGTATTGGCTTTTGCCGTACAATCATAAAACTAAATGTTAAGTTTCTACTTTGTCGTATGTCGTCTTTTGTTCGAGGTCTTCTTCCAATTCCGGGTAGTTCTATTATCGTTCGGAATATCGGCTCTGATCTATTGAGTCGTAGAGACATTTCAATTAAATTATTATCGTATAACATTTTGAAAATGTTTTGTCTAATTTCTAATCTATTTTTGGTTAGTTCTAAGCTATTAGGTTCTTATTCGAGACTTATGGTCGCACCAGATGAGTTAGAACCGATGTGGTTAACTCATAAAGTAATTTCGGATAGGGTACACCGTCTGCTCGTCACGCTACCTTATTTTCGGCCGGATAGATTCGTGCAACTTCTTAGTCTAATACCGATCCTAGTCTTAGTCTTATACTTACTAGTCTCAGGGTGTTTAACTAGTCTGTGCTAGGCTCAATAGATCTAGGGTATACTGATTTATTGCGGCTGCTGAAGTTCTCTTGGAGAGGCAACTAATTTCTAAGTTAAATTCAAATCTCTCTGGTGCTGAAACTACAAGTAGTTTCAGCACTTACAAATAAGTGGGTTGTTAGTTAGAGGGATTATGATTGGTTAATATTAAATATCTTACAGGGGTAAAACATTTAATTTATCCAATTATAAAATGTAGTTTAGATCAGGTTCCACTATTCGCATATAATTAAATTTTGCAAAATCATGTATCTCGCAGTTTAAACTCAGATCTTCTCAATTTTAACACCCAAATTGACCATGCACAAAGTTTTACCCACCCACTCCTCACATCTATCCGCACACTTACTCCCACCTCCACCTAAACTTCACACCTACCCCCACCAAACCTACCCCCAGACCTACCCTTACACACACCGAACCTCCCTCCTCCCACAACGACTTGACAACCCCTGTAAGTTTGTATGTGTGGGGGGTTGCGGGCACGCGTTTACGGTATTTTTCACGTATTTTTACGGTTATAGCAAGTGAGGAGTAAGTGACGGGGGAGGGGACGGGAGGTGGTAGTGAGTTAAAGAAAGGAGTAGAAGGTGGTAGCGTAAGTAATTAGGGGGAGAGTGAGAAGTAGAAAACAATACACATTTTTGCTGTAGTCAATTTTCAAACAATTTAACCATTGCAGAATTTGAAAATTTATTTCAAAAACCTAGGCTCTTACTCTTAAAAGCCCATTGTAACCGATTATTTAATATTTTTATGGACACACGAAAATCTATAATAATCGATTATTATCCATGAAACTTCATCGCCGGTAGAATTTACTAGATATTTTTCTGCCCCACACCTCACTTCACACGAACATCATTTTTTTGCATAACAGTTGGTTTTGCAAGATTAATTATGAAGATCAATGATATTGGTCATGGCTTGTTTAGTCCTCGTGTCTTTTTTCATAACAATCGGACAATAATTTTTGTCACAACAATCGGACAAAAAATTTGAACATTATTTTAGTTAGTAAAAATTTGCAAATGTGGGGATGAAAAAGAGTCCCCCCATCTGCAAATTTGTAGCCACCCCATCTAGATGAAATACACAAAATCAAATGTTGTATAAAACCAAAAGCCTAATTTTTCCTTTCTTATCAAATTATTATTATTACATCAGAATTCGTTTTTTTAAGAAACTTAGTTTTGGTTTACTACTCCCAATAGTACCTTATAACAATCCCCAAATGTACCGAATGCATTAAACAGCTATGCATATACGAATTTTTTTGTACCTTGTCCAATTTGCAAAATTGCTAAAAACTCCGAAACTTAAAACGGAATTCAAGATCTTTCGTTCTTACAAAGTAAATAATTATATTGGCTCATATAAACTATCGCAAAATTGGCTGTTCTAAATCCCTCATCTTTCAAATTATTATTTTTAGCAAAGTTATTTTATTACGGCTAAATGCGTGATGTTATGATGTGAAGTATAAAGAACAAATCTGTTCACAGTTGTAGTTTGTTCGCCAATTTTCATTATATTATGACGTTAAAGAAGTTGTTCCAAATTGAATTTAAAAGGGAGAGTGGAAAAGAAGCTAGATTCTTTTAATAGTTTGATTAGCACTAGTTCCAGAACTTTTTGATGATTTGATGATAATATAAGAAAAAACCTATTTTGAAGGAAATAAGAGAAAACTTATTTCTAGGATCTTTTGGTGATTTATTGATAAATAAGAGAAAACTTATTTTAAAGGTAACATTATCTGAGAAGTTTGCTTTGCTGAGCCAATATGACAGCTACCTCTTAAAATTTTGATTGGATATTTTTGCCGAGAAATTGTATCGTAGTTGAAAAAAATGGCCAAACAAATCCTTTCCAAGTGCTTCTGAATTGCATCTAATCTTGTTGTCTAAAAACAACTTGTAACAGCAGCATCCGCAATTTCAAAAGGAGAAGCTTAAAAATAAAACGCCTTTCTGCGATTCGTAGAGGATCTGGGAAAACCTTGCAGCATGTCTAAGCATAGCACATTTCTCTTATTTCCCAAATTCCAGTCTGAGGTATTATGTTCAGCATAGCTCCTTTTTTTGCGGCCTGTTTTTTGCGTCTAAAACTTTCGCGTGATACCTTGCAGTCGTTATCTGTCAGGCTATGGTAGACCTGCATCTAGAGGTTACGTGAGAGTGCGAGATCGTCCTTTCTCACTATTATTGCCATGGCAGGGGATCGATCACGCAAGCTGATGATCACAAAGTCCTTACTCACTATTATTGCCATGGCAGGGGATCGATCACGCAAGCTGATGATACCACTATGCTACGTGCCTCATGGGCGAAGCTTGAAGTTATATTAACTGATTTGTAAAAAAAGTTTCAATTGTCAATTCGAAAAACTTCTCAAAGAAGAAAACTCTTGGTAAGTTTTCTGCGGCGTTTAACCAAACCAAATTTTTGGAAAAACGCTTTCAAAAAAGCCTTCAAAAAAGCCCACAAAAGCCCACATGTTTCAAAAACTCTTCTAAAACCGATGCCAGATCGCCCTCATTTCATCAAAATTGTTCGAAAATGCCCTCAACAATAATTATTCCAAAGTGCCCACAAAGATTCTACAAAAAAACAACACAATGATTGCTTCTTAACCGGTTGGTTATTGTTCCGACTTTCGATACGAAAGTAACGGAATATTTGTGCTCGGGGTGGGTTTTTTTTTCTTCAGACAATTTTCGACTTTTTAACTAGCCATTTTTGACGGAATTTTTTAATATCATTCGAAAGGTATTGTTGCCCTGAGCTCAAATTTGAAAAGATGTTTCACCTGTGATCGTTTTTCGTAAAGTTACCGGGGTTTAAAGATTGCCATTTTGGCCAATTTGGGACAATTAACGCGCTATATATTTCGCGGTATTAACGCGTAAGCGGAGAGTTAATCCGTCTTAGAAATCGTTCCAAATTGGTTAAAAGAAGCTTATTTGCCTTAATTGTTTTGTTACAAGGAGCGAAATCTATCCTTTTGTACTTTATATGGCGTGTGGGGGGATGATTTTCATAAAAAATTTCACATTTTAGAAGAAAAAAAAAATTTCTTTTATTTTATTTCATTGAATTTTTAAAGGTTTATGAAAATAATGAAATTCAATGAAATAAAATAATAGAAATTTTTTTTTTCTTCTAAAATGTGAAATTTTTTATGAAAATCATTACTGCTCCATAAACCTTAAATAATTAAAAATTGAAAATAATTACTGCTCCATAAACCTTAAAAGGCAGTTGGAACATTCAGGGCTTCGCCCTGATACGATCAGTCTTGTTATCTCTTATAACTGACCTGGGACTTAGGCTGACTATTAAAACCAGGAGATTCATTAGGATTCCACTCATGCACACGATAAAGAGGATAATCAAGTAGAGCCAGTGCTTGTCGAAGTCCGGCTCCCTGTCTTCCCGGAACGGTTCACAGTCCACCTGGAAACAAGCAAAGAAAAACCCAATAATAGATTTTTTTCCAAAAGTTTTTTTTTCAAAGTACAATTCTAGAAATTTTTAGACTGTTTCGACTGTTTCCATAAACTTTTCGACATTTGACATAAAAATATTGTCATTTTGTTTCAAAGAAAAAATTGCGTAAAAGATTGATGGCTTGCTTAAGTTTGATTCATTTTATTTTAAAAGCTTATGAAAATGTGTAAAAATCTTTCTCATTAATGAAAACTGTTGATCTAGCATTTTCTCGAAGATTTCTATTTGAAACTTAACGCAATAATTGTTCAGACTTTCGAAGAAACACGCAAATACATATCCTGTAGTTGATTTTTTAATCTTTCGAATTTAGGCGATTGAAGTCAAAAATTTTTTTAATTTTTTTTCTACTCCATTTAAGATATCGATTCCTTCAGTTCAATTTAATAAGAGGTTATATTTTCGGTTAATTTTTGTGCAGTTCTGGGGGTTGGAACATAGCTCTGTACAAGTATGGGCGCACTGTGAAGATTTTTTTTATGATGCTGAAAGTGAAACGCTGTGTATTTATGCGTCGCAAATTTTCCCGAAATGCAAAACTGCTCCAGGTTTGACTGAGGCAAGCTAATCGGTTGTAACAATTTTTGTGCCACTCAAGTTTTTACTTCTAATGTTTGTCCAAATTTTTTGGTTTTTTTCACAAACAACTATTGCATACCAGTTTAGAGACACCCGGAACTTTCAGGGTTTTCACGAGAATTTTATAACGTAGATTTTTTGTTAACTGCGTTTCCCATAATTACTTCTCAAAATCAGAACAGCTGAAAAGATGCACTTAAAGCTTCTCACTCTAAAACGCACATGTGCCTATTAATATTGTTTTTGGAATTTTTGATCTTCTCTTGTTCTTTTGTTTTATAAAAAACAACATTTAAAAAAAAACTGTACCTCAACTTTATATCTTCCACAGACTCTCTAAAAAAAATTTAAATCTATTTTAAAATATCTTTTCTATTTTTATACCTCCAAAACAACACACCAGCGTAATAATGAAAACAAATTGCCTGCCTCAGTTCCGCCGCTTACGCCGCTTACGTTTTCATAATAATAGGACAACATATATTGAGCGTTAATTATCCAAATTTTAACTATAGCAGACAACTAGCACCAAAACCAAACCGGTATATTTTCGCAAAAAATGACCACAATTAAAAAATTTTTGTTATTTGATTTCTGTAATTTTTTTCAGATGGTAATAAGCAAATCCGTCAAAAAGTGCTAGCCAAAAAGTCGAAAAGTTGTCATAAGAATCATATGTGAGCAGATCCTGTCGAAAGTGAACCAAACAATGGCGCCCAGAAACGCATTATTGCACAGTTTTTACCTTGTAAATCTGTTTAATATGGTGTTTCTGTGCGCCATCGCTTAGTTATTTTTCAACAGGATCGGCTCATATCTGATTCCTATGGTGGCTTCAAAAGATGGTTTTAATGACGAGGGAAGAATTTACAATATATAAGTAGTGTTTCGAGATGTTCCATATCCGTTGTTCAAGATGTTTTGAATTAATTTTTTATAGAATATCTGAATGCAGAAACTTTCTGAATGCTAAATACGACTTGGATGTGGATACTGGTCTCGACAGCTGATTGAATGTTGATCTCGTCTGGCAGCGATTTTCATTTCATGTTTTGTTTTTGTACTCGGCGTGGTCCTGATAAGATTAGAAGGTTTAAGCTGTCTCAATTTTGCGGAGAATTAGTGCAAGTCGAGTTTCCAACCTTTATTGTTTTATCGATATTCTCCATTGTTCAGAGATGGTACGCTTCATGAGCGGGTCTTAAATCTACTTGCCTCTAATCTACTTGCCAGGTTTCAACAATGTAGCAAGCTTTTCATCCAGTTTTATAATTTGAAAAAAATCTTCTTCACAATTTCATAGTATGGAAGAAATGCTTGTCATACAGTTTCATAGTATGGAAAAATGCTTGTCATACAAATTCATAGTATGGAAAAATGATTATCACACAATTTCATAGTATGGAAAAACGCTTATCATACAATTTCATAGGATGGAAAAAAATTGTATCATGCTATTTTCATACAATTTTGGGCATAAAGAGACTGATGAAAAAGCTTAAATTTCAATTCCAGAGTATGGAAAAAATGCTAGCTTTAAAAATTCATAGTATGGTAAAATGCTTATTTTGTTATTTTCATACACTTAATTTTGGTCTATGATTTTGTTTGAAGGAGTATGACAAGCATTTTTTTCATAAATAAAAATTGTATGACGAGCATTTTTTTGTCAACCCGGTATTTGAGCAGGAACCAGATTGTTTTCAAAAACGTTTGGAGGCAAACATATGAAAATGTGCTGAGCAACTCTACGTTATACAATCAATGTTGACAATAGTTGTTTGCATAAACTAGATTTAGCGAGCAGCGGTACTTGTTTTTATTGCTACAAACTTTCATGAAAATTATGTTTGATTTGGTTTACCCGCACGTTTGTTTATTGCTACAGCAGCTTAATTCACTCGCACTTATAAACCCAAAGAATCCACGTTTGATCCTATTTTACAACCCGGGTTGACCTCCATACACCAAAAATGCTTATCATAAAACTTCATACATCGAATGCATAGAACAATGCTTGTCATACAATTTTCGTACAATAGTTGAAACAAGATATAAACTGAATTCTGCGGCTGTTTGATTCTTACAAAACAGTCTGGTGATGAAGAAACCGAGGTGTTTGTTTTCGAAAACAATGCTTATCATACAATTTGCATATGTGGAAATTGTATGACTAGCATTTTTTGATCGCAACACAAAAATGTTTCCAAGTAATTTTGAAATTGCTCCAAAATTTATTGTGGTTTTTTTTAACCGCAAATTAAATTTTGCACTCAAACAAAAATTTAGTTTTTTGTGTGCATACGGTCCTGGATACACTAATGTTAAAACTTTTTCCTTTTCGCTTAATAGCATTTTCAAAACGCTGAAAGCTCCTATTTTTTTCTATGGCAGGTTTATGTATGTCTTGATCAATATCTGACAATTTAAAAATTCAATTTTGAAAACAAATCATCAATAAAAAATTTGCCAAAATTTAAAAATTTGTTATTTACGTTATATCATATCATTCGTGAAAGACAGCTCCAAGACAATTTAGGTCGTTTTCTATGCATTATAAATGCACGACCATTCCAACCTTTGGTGCTTTGAGTAACCAATGTGTTTGTGACTTGCATTCGGTTACGATCACAACCCAAAGTTTTGCAGAAACTAATTTTAGAAAATAAATCAACTTTTTCGTTTATGGAAAAATACTTGTCATCTAATTTTCATATCTGGAAAATTGCTTATCATAGAGTTTTCATACAATTTCCTGTACGTATGGAATTGTATGAAAGTTTTCATATATATAAATTGTATGATAAGAAATTTTGGTCAACCCGGAAAGATTGGAATGTTAAAAGCACACAGCCCAGCCTGCAAACATCTGAGGTAAAATATGCATAATTTATGCGGTTTGAGTTCTGGTTGGTTCTATTTGAATTTGGGCTATTTTTTATATAAAAAACGAATTCTTGTGCTAAACGAGCAAATTTGTTTATAAGTTTTATGATTTTATATTAGCGAATGCATGTTTGATCTATTTTAACACATTTTTTGCGTTTTTTGAATTTGGGTGTCTCTCAAATAGTCATTTGGAACCCAATAACTCAACAAAACTTCAAGTAAGTTTTGGACTGATAACAGCAGACCCTTGAAGAATCTGAAGAAAAAAATTCTAAAGACATTGGAGATATTTCTCCCAAATAATCTTGTCTTATTTATTTTGGATCTCCTTAACTATTTGCTCCTGAGGCAAATAGATACCAATTGCCGCCCCTTTAAAAACTAAAACAGTGGTTAAGCGAAAGTGAAAATCGTTTGTAAAACTATATCTAAAAGTCGAAACAATTTAATAGAAGTTTTTTAAAAAGCGTCTTTTTTAAAACGTCCATTTTAATTAGACCCATTCAAATTGTTTTCTCAAGACACCTCTGGGGTCATTAATCAAAAATCTTGTAGACAATTTTTGATAACGAAGAAAAAAGAGTTAAATTTTTAATCTAACCTGTATCCAAAAAAACTGAAAGCGCAATTTTCTACTGCAAACCATATGCGGTGCAGAATATTTTTTCTCTAAACCTTTTCATCATGAAAATTCTAAGGATTTTTTGGCAAAACATCACTTTGGTATACAGTCACGGAATCTAGAAGAAGCAAATTTTTGACTTAACAAAAAAAGAATTTTTAGTCTGACTTGGTTTTGTTTATTATTCAGCTGTTCAAAGCTACAGTGTTGAAATTTGAACGCACTAGATGAAACTATTCGGCAGGAGCAAGGGGTTTCAAAATTTGGAAAAGTTTTTGGAATGTCTCGAAGGTTATTACATCATAAGTTGTCTCGAAAGATTTCTTGTTGAGGAAACTTCTTCGCAAATAAGTCAAGGAAATTGGCTGAAAAAACTAAATTTTCTAAAATCTGATGAGATTGATTTAGATGATACGGACAAAAAAATGCCTTGGGTGCTTAATGTCTTATACCTAAAAGTATTCAATGTTTGACGGAACAGTTTATTGTCGGCTTGTTTCGATCATCAGCGCAAAATTACTCGAAAATTTTTCATCGTTAATTGAAATCGGATCAAGTACTTCATTCAAATTTTTTTGTCTGTCGTTTTACCGCAAAATAAAAAGTAAGGCTAACTCATCACTTTGCCACAAGAATAATTTGTGCCCGCAAATTCAAAATCCCGTAAACTCAAGTTTCCACAGCCAGAACACTTCTTAAACTAAGCATGATATACTGGCTATTTTTGGCCTTCTAAACAAAGCTTCTAGCTTCTCCAATTTTGATCCAGCTGCCTCCTGCTAAATCCTGGGTCGAGGTGCTCGATATATGTTTCGACTTTCT